ATCTGGAATTACAAATCTAATGATGTTCCATCTGGTTCACTTATGTCCTTTAGGGAAGGAAGCTGCCATCCTTGCATGGTCTGACATCTGACCTGCTCTTGCAGATAGTGTAATTATATGGATGATGTATTTCAGTTTCTGCTGAATGGTAAATGCAAGAATATTGACAATGGGAAATTGAGTGGTGGTAATGCCTGATCTGGCCTACATGTGACTCCAGACCCACAGCAATGTGGTCGATTCTGAACTGCACTTTGGGCAATTAGGGACGGGCAATAAATGCCGCCTGGTCAGCAACACCCTCATCCTGTGAAGGAATAAAGGAAAAAATATTATCTATTGAGGTTCTGATGAAGGGTGTAAACCTGAAATGTCAGCTTTCCTGCTCCTCTGATGCTGCCTGGCCTGCTGTGTTCCTCCAGCTCCACACTGCATTATCTCTGACTCCAGCATCGGCAGTTCTTGCTATCTCCAATCTACTAAGGTCTGTTTAGTAAAATAAACGCTAAAATGTCAGTTAAACACTTTTTTGGGCAAGGGCAAAGTTCTTTGCCTGTATCTGCTTTGACAGCAGGCACTGTAGACCGGATGGTGGGGAGTATACAAAGCTGTTTTGGCTGTTAAGTGAAGCAGTAATATTTCTCTCTGTAATGCAGTTGCAGGTTGACAGGTTGTGGTCCTGGGATCTTAGCAGCATTGTTGCCACAGTTCCTCCCATCCCTGTTACCATCCACAGGCTGGGGGCTTACCTCAATGCTGGATGACAATTCAGGCACTGGATTCAAACAGCACCAAGTGTGATGACATGGGCAGTGGCATCTTTGTTCCTAGCAGCTGCAGCTACATCACTTTGAGGTGAAGTGATCTTGCATGCTCAGTGGCATTGGGGTTGACAATAAATGCAGACATCTACATTGCCATGTCTTTGGCTGTTGCATTGTTGATGAGTTTTGTCAGTTAATTCCTCCTGCTCTCTGCCCTTTCTCTACCCTCTTGTTCTTCCTGCCATCTTTCCCTCCCCAGGGCCCTTTCACTGGCTTGAAAACATCTATATTTCCACCTTCCTCCAGTTCTGATGAAAGGTCATTGATCTGAGATGTTATCTCTGCTGCCCTGACCTGCTGAGCTTTTCCAGCAATTTTTGCATTCAGTTTTGATTCAGGCCTTAATCCTTCTGCAAGTCTTCTCCGACATTATAATACATTTCCATCATCAATAAGGACAGAAAAAAGGCCAATTGACCCGACAAGCCTGCACCAATAATCTATAAGATATGATTAATCTGCTAATGGCCTGTTCTCCACATTGGTGCTAAACCTTCTCAATCCACCCATCCCCATAACCTCTGACATCTTATGGAGCAGATGTCTATTTCAGCCTTGAACATTATCAATGGCTTAGCTGCTATTACTCTCTGAAGGAAAGAATTACATTGGTCAACAATCGCTCTTCTCATTGCTACTAATGCTGTGAGAGTGCCCCTATTTTTAATCTGTGCCTCTCCCCACCGGCTCTAGATTCCACTGCGAGGGGAACAAACTTCTCAGCAACTATTCTGTCAAGCTAACTAATCTTGGTCAAGCATACATCCAAACATTCCTCATAAAACAAGCTCTTCATCAAAGGAATCAACCCAGTGAATCTTCTCCAATATCCTTCCAGTACAATTTGACTCCTTCCCTAAGTCAGGAGACCAAAACCATCCACAGACATCATAGAATCCCTACAGTGTGGAAGCAGATCATTTGACCCACACTGACTCTCCAAAGAGCATCCCACCCAAACCCAAACCCAAACCCCCACCTTATTACTGTAACCCCACATTAGCACCTAATCCATGTATCCCTAGACACTACGGGCAATTTAGCATAGCCCATCCTCTTAACCTGCATATCTTTAGACTGTGGGAGGAAACCAACGCAGACACAGGGAGAACGTGCAAACTCTGCACAGACAGTCACCCGAGGGTGGAATCGAACCCAGGTCCCTGGCGCTGTGAGGCAGCAGTGCTAACCACTGAGCCACTGTTGTAACCCATCTCACAGTCTACAATCTGGAAATTTGAAGTCAACCGAATCTTTGCTGCCCATGCTGTTAACACACCAAGTCCTGTTCACCATCACCCAGTTAGGGTTTTGTTCTCAACTTGTTTCTAAATCCGTGCTCCTTAATAATCTACCTGATAGATCAAACTTGCTCTTGTATCTCTTCATGTTGTTCGGTGTAAAGCTTGATTGATACCAGACTTGTCAAATACCTTGGGACATTTTACTAGGTTAAAAGGTTATTCGTTCATGGGGTGTGGGCATCACAGATTGGATCAGCACTCATTACGCTTTCCAAACTGCCCAATGGGCAACCACATTGCTGTGGGATCTGGAGTCACATGTAGGCCAGACCAGGTAAGGATGGCAGATTTCCCTCTCCGAAAGGACATTAATGAACAACTACAAGTAAACAGCTAGAAGCTGTTGGCCTTCATGTTCATGTTATCGACATTGAACAGCAGTCAGGCATTGGAATCTGCCTTCGGGGAGCTGTTATCAAAGATAGAACCAAAAGTCCTGGTGCCAATAGTTCAAAGAAACAGTTTTACAGTTCAGTCATTCTATTAATCCCCCAGAAAACATATTTCTATTTTTCCCTTATCTCTCTGTAATATTACATTGCATTTCACCATTTTGATCCACAAGTAATTCTTTTTGACAAATTTTGAATCTCTAAGTGGGACGGAGTAAACTGGGTGTGATTGACAATTTCTCAAACTTTTATTGACTACTCCATGTTATTGATTTAAAATCCTTTGGATGATGCGTAAGGGCTGACTTGGTGTTTCCTTTAGGGTTAGGGTCAACTGGTGGACATCTCAAACAAAGACGACAGTTAACCTGTGCATCACTAGAACATTTCATCGTCCCGCAGCATTTCACAGGAATTGAATTGTGCCAGCGTTGTAATCATTGTTGCTATGGTAACAAATGCAGCAGGCAGAAATTGCGTATAAGAACCTCACAAAGTTGATAGGTGACCAGAAAATGCAAATACCCCAGAAGACTGGGCAGGGGGGTTTATAACACTTGATTCCCCCTTGCCCAATAGAAGTGCTACAACAGGCATACAATCCACTAGCTCACTCCTGATGTCAATGGCTGTAGTATGTAGCCCAATGCTAAGCAGAAGCAGAGCTCTGGGTTTGTGCAAGGCCAGTACTATATAGTGAGCAGGCCATATGCAAAACTGAGGTGGCACCTAGATGCTGTCAGAAATGGAAGCAATTGTACAAGAGTACCTGACTAACAGGGAAAGCATGACAAATCCGGGTTCAATTCCACCCTCGGGCGACTGTCTGTGTGGAGTTTGCACGTTCTCCCCGTGTCTGCAGGGGTTTCCTCCGGGTTCTCCGGTTTCCTCCCACAGTCCAAAGGTGTGCAGGTTAGGGTGGATTGACCATGCTCAATTGTCCCATAGCGTCCAGGGATGTGCAAACTAGGTGGGTTAGCCAAGGGAAATGCAGAGTTACAGGGACTGAGCGGGGGGGTGGGCCGCTGCAGCTGAATGGGATGCTCTTCGGAGGGTTGGTGTGGACTCGATGGGCCAAACGACCACTTTCTGCACTGTAGGGATCCTATGGGAGTGCAAGTGCGTGACTTATCAGGCAGTGGGCTTCCATGTTGTTTGGTACTAGAGGTGGGTACGAGAGATACTGGCCCACTTAGCTCAGCAGGACAAGTATTTAGGGTAAGGCAATAGCCACAGAGGTTCAAAAGCCAAGAATGTGGGTACTGTGCCATGAGAAATTCCCAGATCTTACTCTGTAAGCTCCATAAAGAGTAGATGAAGGGGGCTTTGGGTGATACCAGGGGCCCCTGTTGCTGCTAAGTGAGCTGCTGATGTCAACCTGCTGGGCATTGCAAGCCAGCTGAAAGGTTACTGCCCTGATTCCTTTCCACTGTAGATTCACTTGCCTTCTTGCTTCCTGGGGAAGCAGCAGACACAGAAACCAGGTCCGGGCATTGGGGCCTGGTGTCAGTTCCCAGGAGTGCTAGGATCTCAGGAGTAGAGGGTTGTCTCAGGTCCCAGGAAGTAGTGTCAGGTTCCGAGAGAAGGTGGGGTCTGGGTCTGGGGGGCTGTAAGGGGTCTGGGGAAGGTGCATTAGGTGAGGTGAGAGATAAGTCAGGGACTTTACTGAATAGTTGCTCAAGAGTTAGACTATGTATTCAATACTAACATGTCCTGAGTAACTATTTACTGAACTGCGTTGGAATCCTTCAAACACTCTGATTTAAACAGATATTTCCAGAGGTGTTCAGGTGAAGGGAAAACTTCCCAGGCAGTTCCCTCAGACCTTGCTTTGATGGGGATTCCACAGGGGTCCCATACATATCTCTTACCCCATTTCAGAAAGACTACAATTCCAGGACAAGCTGTCTAAATACAGATGTTGGTACATCTGTGGACTGGTTACCAAACATTCTCCCATTTAAGCCATTTAACACCAGACTGACCCCACCCCCATCAACACCCACACCCTCCTGCAAGTTAAGATGCATTTACCCCCAGTGTTATTTTCATTCTCTTGGCTGAGGGAAAGCCAGTAAAACTTGCAAAGGCGCACACACACCACTCTGAATTGTCTGATACATCTTAAAGCAGACTTGCTGTACAAACAGGACATTCATTAACAGGTGTGACTTCCTTTCTTAAAACTGTTTTTTTCCTTCCCTCATTGGAAATAAACGCCATGGGTTATGTAAACAGGAGGCCAACTCATTACAGCTTGTTGTAGATTTTCACACAAATTACCCCCATTAACCAGGGATTTCCCAGCAACAAATGCACTTTGCGTAGATCACATAGAATTCCTACAGTTTGGAAGCAGGCCGTTCAGCCCATCAAGTCCACAGCTACACCACCACCAAGCACCCGCGCCCCCATCCCACCCAACAGCAGGCCACCCAGACCAAAGCCAGTAACCCTGCATTTCCCATGGCTATCCACCCAGCCTGCACATCCCTGAACACTCTGGACAATTTAGTATAGCTAATTCACCCAACCCATTACATCTTTGGACTGTGGGAGGAAACCGGAGCACCCGGAGGAAACCCACGCAGACACGGGGAGAATGTGCAAACTCCACACAGGCAGACACTGTGGATGGAACCAAACCTGGGTTGCTGGTGCTGTGAGGCAGAAGTGCTAATCACTGAGCCACCATGACACCTCAATTTCTATAACATTTCCAGTATAGTGCTGGGGAAATTACCATTTCAGTCTTTAAATTGAACTACATTTACTTATGACAGAAAAAGCAATTCTGTTGATTTAAAAAAGGTATGTTATCGGTTCTTGAATTTGTACAGTTTTGCATTGTATCATGTGTAAGGCTTCTTTGGTTAAAAATTGCTTATCCATTCTGTTCTCTCCCACTGTTTAAAGACTTGTTAAAGCAAATGACAAACAGACAATTGCATTTATGTTTGAAACCAAAATAAAAGGAAAAATACCTGTTTAAAAGTTGCTTTACAAACTTTAACAGTTAAACCCGCCCTTTAGCATTAAATATCTTTTCAACACACATTTACTCATTACGTACTGAAAAACAAAGATGTTGTTTAACAGAAACTCGGTTCCCCAACGGATTATGAATATCTAGACAATCCAGACGAGGTGGATTGTGGTGAGATAGCAGGCTGAATTTTCCCTGCAGCACGCAGGCTCCAAACTCTGAGCCGTTTCTAATGAAGAAATGGCTTCCACAGTCAATATTAATGATGGCCGATGAGACAGACCAGATGGCGTGGGACAGTCCCAAGTTGGGATGGGATGGGGGAGGGGGTGCAGAACCTGTTGAGGCTAATGGGGACTTCTCAAAATTGCAGGTTCTGTCTGATACCTACAGAACTCTAACTAAAATAAGGAAGGCACACACTGGAAGAGCCATCAGTGTAGCCCAGGATTGACTGTGGTCACAGCTTTGAGCTTTTCATCCCAGTGTATCCTTCATGTCTTCATTATTATCTTCTTTTGTTTCCTTTAGTGTGAGTTGAACATGGCAGTAAAAATACTACGGACTAACTTTCCTTTTGTTGCTTATTTCCAATGAAGTGCTTAATATTATTGATTGAAATGCCTCTGACAAGGTAAGATCTGAGAAGTTACATCTAGACAGGTAATGTCGACTTTCATTAAAGGTATCTCCCTGCTATTGAGATGGAAAATGTTAAAAACAGCGAAGAGAGAAATTTGACATCAGCTAGTTCACACAATAATGTCACTAACTGCAACTTGGGCTTTCATAACCCTGCTTCTGACCCAAATCTCTTGCACAAATACATCAAGACTGCCGCACAATGGTCTTTGTGATAGCAATCCTTTCTATAGCTGTAAGAAATGTTGTCAGGATTGAATGAGGGAGCATCAGACGTTGTGAAAGCTTCCAACAATTTGTTCTCTTCCTATTTTCTCTCTTTGCCCTTCTTACTCCCCATTTTTAGATTTGGTCAGTTTAGTAGTACAGGGTGTGAGTATTCCTGAAACATTGGCCATGTGACAGGAGGTTTTCATCTTGCACGCATCAGGACAGATTTGCAAGAATACCAAATCTCAGAAGGAACAATAATTTTTACTGCATGTGAAGAGGTTGCTGAATGATTGCCAAGTGGATTGTGATCAGGGGATCAAGGCTTGTGACTAAAAATCCAAGGATATACATCCTATCAGGAGGACAGGCAAGTGGGCAAAGGGGGAAGACTTGCTTAGTTCCTAAGAAATGAAATTAAATCGATAGCAAGAAGTGAAATAGAGTCAGAAGGTATAGAATCTGTGTGAGTAGAGTTGAGGAACCACAAAGGGGAAAAGACTGTGATGGAAATTATGTATAGGTCTCCTAGCTGTAGTCAGGATGTGGAGCAGAAAATAAATCTGGAGATAAGAAACACAATATTACAAGTCATGGGGGTCTTCAATATGCAGGAGGACTGGGAAAATCGGGTTAGTAGTGGATCCCCAAGTGTGGAATGTTTACAAGATGGGTTCTTTTTGCAGCAGCTTGTGGTAGAGACAACTAGGAACAGGCAGTTCTGGATTTGGTGATGCCTAATGAGGTAGACTTGATTGGGGAGCTGAAGGGGAAGAAATTCACCCTGCATTTTGAGAGAGAGATGCTGGAATCAGATGTAATGGTATTAAAATTGAGGAAAGGTAACTGCAGAGACATGGGTGAGGAGCTGACCAGAGCTAATTGGGAGGGGAGCCTAGCAGGGAAGACAGTAGAGCAGCAATGGCAGGAGTTTCTGGGGATAATTTGGAGACACGGCAGAAATTCATCCCAAAGAAGAAGAAACATACTCAGGGGAGAATGAGGCAACCATGACTGACAAGGGAAGTCAGGGACAGCATAAAACCATACAATGTGGTGGAGGTTAGTGGGAAACCAGAGAAGTGGGAAGCCTTTAAAAACCAGCAGAGGACAACACGGAAAAGCAAGAAAGCAGGAGAAGATGAAATATGAGGGTAAACTTGCTAGTAATATAAAAGAAGATTTCAGGAGTTTTTTTAGATATATAAAAGGTAAGAGAGAGGCAAGAGTGGGCATTGGATCGCTGGAAAATGAGGCTGGGGAAGTAGTAATGGGAAACAAAGAAATGGCAGAGTAACTGAATAGGTACTTTGCTTCAGTCTTCATGGTGGAAATACTAGCAGCATTATAGAACTTCAAGAGAGTTGGGGACCAGAGGTAACTATAGCAGCCATCATTAAGGAGAAGGTGCTGGGGAAGCTGAAAGGTCTGAAGGTGGGTAAATCACCCAGACCAGATGGACTACACCCCAGAGTTCTGAAGGAGATAGCTGAGGAGATTGTGGAGGCATTGGTGGTGATCTTTCAGGAATCACTGGAGTCAGGGAGAGTCCCAGAGGACTGGAAAATGGCTAATGTAACACCCTTGTTTAAGAAGGGAGGAAGGTAGAAAACAGGAAACCAAAGGCTAGTTAGCCTGAACTCTGTCGTTGGTAAGATTTTAGAATCCATTATCAAGGATGAGGTTGAGGAGTACTTGGAAGTGCATGGTAAAATAGGGCTGAGTCAGCACAGCCTTGTCAAGGGGAGGTCATGCCTGACAAATCTGATGGAATTCTTTGAGGAAGCAACGAGCAAGTTAGACAAAGGAGAGCCAGTGGATGTGATCTGTTTGGATTTCCAGAAGGCCTGTGACAAGGCAACACACAGGATGCTGCTAAATAAGATAAGAGCCCATGGTATTAGGGGCAAGATACTTGCGTGGATAGAGGATTGACTGATTGGCAGATAACAAAGGGTAAGTATAAAGGAGTCTTTTTCAGGATGGTAGCCAGTGACTAGTGGAGTTCCACAGGGGTCAGTGTTAGGACTGCAAATATTTGTGTTATACATTAACAATCTGGATGAAGGAACTGAGGGCATTATTGCTAAGTTTGCAGATGGCACAAGGATAGGTGGAGGGCCAGGTAATGTTGAGGAAGTGGGGAGGCTGCAGAAGGACTTGGCCAGGCTGGGAGAGTGGGCAAAGACAGGGCAGATGGAATATAATGTGGGAAAGTGAGGTTATGAAAAGTAGAGGTATAAACTATTTTCTAAATGGGGAAAGGCAGCGGAAATCTGAAGTACAATGGGACTTGGGAGTCCAATTTCAGGATTCTCTGAAGGTTAACATGTATGTTCAGTTGGCTATTAGGAAGGCAAATGTAATGTTAGCATTCATTTCTATAGGGCTAGGATACAAGAGTGGAGATGTACTGCTGAGGCTGTAGAAGGCTCTGGGTAGACTGCATTTGAAATATAGCAATATTGTGAGCAGTTTTGGGCTCAGAGTCTAAGGAATTATGCTCTGGCATTGTAAGGGGTTCGCAGGAGGTTTCCCAGACTGATCCTGGGGATGAAGGGCTTGTCATATGAGGAGCTGTTGAGGACTCTGGGTTTTGTTCTCGATGGAGGTTAGAAGGATTAGGGGGGAACTTACAGAATATAGAGTGGATGTAGAGAAGATGTTTCCACTAGGACAGACCTGAACCTGAGGGCACAGCCTCACAGTGAAGGGGCAACCCTTTAGAACTGAGACGAGGAGGAATTTCTTCAGCCAGAGGACAATCTGTGAATCTGTGGGACTCATTGTCACAGAGGACTGTGGAAGGCAAGTCATTTATTGTGTTTATGACAGAGGTACTTGGGTTCTTGATTGTCAAGAGGATAAAGGGTTATGGGGAGAAGGCAGGAGAATGGTGCCATGATTCAATGGTGGAGCAGATTCTGCTCCTATATCTTATAGTCTTATGGACTGGTACGGCGTAGCCCGTATTGCATAAATTCTAACCCGGCAAGACAACGCTGATTGTCTAAAACTTCCAGTGTGCTGTTCAGACAATGGACCTCAAACTGCTTTTAGCTCTTCCCAAACCACTCTCCTACCCCAGTCCACAACACTACAAACTCCTTCAGGTACTTCATAAACTGTCAGCTGAGCCCCGTCTTCTGATTGTAGCCTCAAATAACATCCTCTTGATAAAGAATAGAATGTTGATAGACAGGTCCTGATCTTCCCTGCCATCAGATACAAGTACATTTCCGTGAATTTGACAACCGCCCCCACCCCCCAGCAAGTTTACAACAAATTACCAAAAACTACGCAAAATCTCAGCAATGATATTTCCCAATTGTTCCATTTTCCAGATTTTAAAATTCCAAAACGGTTCGAAATTTACATGACAACTGCACTGTCAGATTTCTACCCACTAAACAGTTTATGGTCACCCTGTTTTATGAACACAGAGCTGGCAACAGCTGTTAGGAACACAGGAACAGGGATAATCTCCAGTTTGTGTTCTTGGAAGTGTGAAAGGATTTCCAGTGACTTTGCTGTGTCACTGTGCATGGTGGAGCTATACCGCCACTTAGTGGCTGTAGACTGCAAGTGCAGATCCAGCAAAAACATTCACTGCCGGAATTCCCATTGGAGCAGGTTACAGATGGATTTCATGCTGGAGTTGGATGACCAAACATGATGGTAAAAGGATTACGATGAAAAGAAATGAATGTACAAACAACATAGCAAAATTAATATGAAGACATTATATTTTTGGTGGCATCAATTTCACATTATATATAAAACAAACCAATAGCCATTTTAGTGTAATAATTTACCTTCATATTTTTATATAAAAAGGTGAGTTGTGCACTTGTAAATAAACAATCTTAGAACTTTTTTATTATCCCTCATTCAGAAATATTAATGATCGACCTCATTTTTAAAAAGATAGTAAGCCAGAAAGTGCGTGGAGAAGCTCAGCAGGTCTGGCAAAGAGAGAAACAGAGTTAATATTTCAACATCAGTTAGAAACGCTTCAGTCCTAAATCACAAGTATTCAGCAAACAGTAAGAAATTCTGGATTTACTCTGTGTTCAAATGGTACTTCTTTCTGTGCCACACCGCTGTCAGAAAGTCTTTCATGATGGGCATCATTCTGTGAGGGGAGAGGAGAAGGATGGGTTAGTCAAAGAGCTGGCACAGGTTTAATGGATTAAATGACCTCCTATACATTTTCATTTCATGAGTTAATCTGTGGTTCAGCTACACTTTTACGAGTGGAGCAGATGCTGTCTCAGAAATCCAACACAAAGTTAAATGAATCATTCTTAAGACATTTGTTAAGAATATTAATATTGAAGGAGCAGGGAAATCAAACGCAGCAGTCCAAAAGATAAAGAGAGAGTGGAACATGTAAGAATGTGTGTGATGGACAATTAAATTCACTAGAGGAAGACGGTCCGCAAATATTGCCATCCTCAATGATGGAGGAACCCAGCACACTAGTGTGGACAATCAGGCTGAAGCATTCTCAGCAATCTTCAGTCAGATGTTCAGAGTGGATGATCCATCTCAACGTCCTCCAGTGGTCTGCAGCATTATGGATTCTGGTCTTCAGCCAATTCAATTCACTCCACGTGACATCAAGAAATGGTTGTAGACATTGGATGCTACAAAGGCTATGGGCCCTGACAATATTCCTGAAATAGTACTGAAGACTTGTGCTCCAGAACTTGCTGCTCCCCTATTCCAGTACAGTCACAGTACCAACATCTACCCGACAATGTGGAAACTTGCCCAGGT